TCGTCGTCGTCGTCGTCGTCCTCGTCCTCGTCCTCGTCCTCGTCCTCGTCCTCGTCCTCGTCCTCGTCCTCGTCCTCGTCCTCGTCCTCGTCCTCGTCCTCGTCCTCGTCGTAGTCGTAGTCGTAGTCGTAGTCGTAGTCGTAGTCGTCGTCGTCGTCGTCGTCGTCGTCGTCGTCGTCGTCGTCGTCATAGTTGTAGTCGTAGTCGTAGTCGTAGTCGTCGTCGTAGTAGTAGTAGTAGTTGGTGTTGTTGTTGTTGTTGTTGTTGTTGTACTAGTACTTTTACTAGTACTAGTGATAGTAGTCGAAGTCGTAATACTACTTCCTCCGATTACTACGACTACCATCACCACCTCCACTTCGACTACGCCTACCACTATCGCAGCTGCTTTTTGGGCTAGCACTCTCACTACCACTACCGTACGACCGCTACTAGTTGCGGGCTGTGCAACCGCCATGATGAGGGCTCCCTTGGTTAAGGCGGCAGGGTGTCGAGTCTAGTATCAGGATGTGGGGTGTAGAGCCCATATAAGTTGCAGGCTTCAGGGTATATGGGCGCAAGGCTCAGACTCAAGGCTTGAAGATGCAACGGATTCAGTATTCATTGATTACGGTTAATCGTGGGGCAATAGTACCGTCGGCGGATGCCCGCATACGTTGGGTTCTATCGTAGAGGTCAGAGATGGAATCTAGTTTCATATTGTCTTGCAACGTCTTGTAATGCAATCGGCCAGAAGACTGTAAGGCTCCTAGACTCTATATCTATCAAGCACAGCCCACAAATTCACCCTTCCGAAAACAAGCAGCTGGAACAAACCGGCAACAACAAACACAAACCCCAAATCCCCCCAAGAGAAGAGCACCATACACTAGCAAAACCAGCCAACGAAACAAATCCCAAACCCTAAGCCGCTAAACCCTAAACCCTAACCCCTACATGCCTAAACCCTAAAGCCCTAAACCCTAACCCCTCCTAAACCCTAAAACCCTAAACCCTAAACCTCCTAGACCCTAAAACCCTAAACCCGAAGCAACAAGAAAGTCCGGGAGGCTGAGCTCCGAAGCTTGAGCTGGTGCGGCTCTGAGCCTGAAGCAAGGGTTTTGGGCACGTTTTTTTTTTTTCAGTACGGTACGCCGGTAAGGGTTTCAGGATTTAGGGTTTAGGAATCGGGGTTTAGGGTTTAGGGCTTCATGGTTTAATGAGGGCCTAGGGCTTGTGGAATCTCGTGGTCTAAGAAATGGCTTAAGTTTAAGGGTTGGGGTTCAGAGGTGATGTTGGGGTGTGCTGTTACGAGATTTCTTCAGGAAGGTCACTGCAGCTCAAGCTTTACAAAACCTGCCGGTAGAGGAGAAAACATTAGACTAGATTTTCTCTGATGCACATTTGAGAGGAGGGCTTCTGCACAAACTCCAAATCACGCAGGTATGTTGCAAGGCCCGATGAGAGTTGCACCCTGGCGCTTTGCTGCATGTGTCGGCTGAAGAGCTCCAAGACGCCATGCCTCCTACAGGTGGGAGGATCACTTCGGCTTGCCTTTAGTGGCCCATGATCCAGAGGAGGCTGGAGTGATGAGGGTGGCGTGTATGCTGTGGGGGGCATGGATGTGGGTTGTGACTTCATCATGGTTCGGGGAATCGAAGACGTCCGAGAGGTCAACCCAGAGGTTTCACGTTTGCCACCGCCGGAAGCTTTGAGAGCTACGGGGTGCAGGGTTAGTTGACACCCGAAGGCCATGCACTGCTTCCAACAAAACTGTACCGCTTTAGCAGCAGCATCAGCTCTCTACGGCCCCATCTCCCACTGGCTTTCCGCGAAGATTTGGTTGCTCAGAAGCTTCCTTGTTCCATGCCGATGATTCCGAACACATCGTTTCAGGCTCAGCCCTCAGCCCTCGACCTCAGGCCACTGCAGCCCGTAAGACCCCAGGAAAGCCCTAAACTGTACAAGCCCTAAACACTAAGTCCGTAATTGAACTTTAAATAGTCAACCTTAACCCTGGACTGTGCCTTAAACCCAAAGGCCCTGAGCCCCCCAGCCCCGCACCAACCACTCCGAGAGCGACGCAAGGCTTTCCATCTCGCAAGTAGCGCCCCGACCTTCGAAGCTCGAGGACTGCTGCGTTTCAATGTCCTGGGCATCTTTCGGGTTCTATCAGGATTTAGGGTTTAGGCTTTAGGGTTTAAGGTTCTATCAGGCTTAACAAGTTTTTTTGGTCTTGGCAAGGACCCAAGGATTCTATACGGGTTCTGCAAGGAATCTGTCACGGCTTTATAGGGTTTTATAAGGGTTATGTGCTGGTTTGAGTGGTTCTTTATTTAGCAGCAAGTGGGATTTGTTCGAGGGTTTGGCATTTGAGTAAGTTTATGCAGGACAACCATTGAAGAGTGGTGCGTGTATGTTCTGGCGAGACTACACTCGCAAAAACCTGTTCATTTCTCGACGAGTACACTTTTGCGTTATCGAGAATCAGAAAGCTTTCGCCCCAAAACTGCTGTATGGGCGCGTCCTTGAGGCTCACCCTGATACTGATATTGCTGCTGTCGCTGCGATTGCAACTTTGATGCCAATCGCCCCGGATGCAAGTCCTAACAGTTCATCAGCGGAGGATAAGTTACTAGTGACACAGCCGTACTAGTGGTGGCATACTGATACTGGATACTCGTCATAGTAACAGCAGACGGAGACCTGCCCTCGTGCTTGAGGGAGGAGAGATGCCATTCCGACTTCTTCGGGTTTAGGTTCAAGCACTGCCCATTGTTCGGCATACGTGCCATCATTTGCACGCTGAAAAATGCTCGATGGACAACCTTGCAACTCACGGTACGACTTGGGTTCAAAAGACTGGCCTTAACCGACCCTATGGTTATACACGTGCTGTTCAAGCGATAAGAATAACGATGACGATTTCTGCGATTGTTTCATGCTGATGGCGAGGAAGAGGATGATCGGGCTGAGCACGATGCCCATTGCTTCTTCCTTACCTGTCCAACCGATCACACCGACGATGATGGTGAGGACGATTACAATATTTATGACCATCATTATGGTGATGACGGTGGTGATAATGATGACGATGATTATACAACCCATGACACTGGTGGTGGTGTCGTGGTGGTGGTGGTGATACCTTTGTCGCGATGACCGCTATGATGGTTGCTCGGGTTGCTGAAATGATGACCATGGAAAACATGACGATGACCACACTGCTAGTGCTCGCGGTGGCGGCCCACAGCACCGTGATTGGGGCGAGGTTTATGATGATACTTGGAAATTGTGTCATGACTGCGAAACAACATGAAGGCGATGATGCCAAGCCATGTCAAACGAAATCGGTTTCAACGAAGAACCAATACAGGTCGACACATGTCTGCCAGAAAACTCCGTCTGAGAAGTAGCGGTTCAAAGACAAACGCGACTCGCAGAAGGCCCTCCTGCAACCCCGTTCGGTATTTAGGACTACACAGAGCTTAGTGCAGGCCAGCACCTTGCGGCGGTGCCACAGCTACCTGGACAGGAGGCGTTCTTGGCATTGGTACTGCACGGGAGTCAGAAAAATAGGGGACGTCCAGTTGAATCATTAACGCTCCATGTACCTAAGCTTCGAGATTGTTCCTTTCGTGAGGTGTTTCTGGTCAGAAGATCAATACCAGGTACTGTCTTGTGGTGGTCTTGGAAGTTTCATGGGTAGTGGTTGTGGCGCTCAGAAAGAAATTTCGGATGCTGAAACTTCTTGAGATCAGCAGACCTGGTGCCGCAGCCACTGGAAAAGGAAACCTCCTTTGCAAGTGAAATCGCTAGCCGGCTGCCCTGCACGGAGGCTGCCATCGAGCCTTTCTTACCAGACGTCCGGCAGTTCATGGCCAAGGAGAGAGCTCTTGCCTGGATTCACCAAACGATTTCAATCAATCAAATGTATAAGGCTTTCATATCAACCCGTAGCCAGGACTGAGCACCATACAGCCCTCATGCTGAACCTTACAGCCAGAACTTTCAGAGAATTGGAAACTGGTACCGTGAGGACGAGCAGCGCCATGTCCTTTGGGATCAGGCATGCACCCCAGTCGTGTAGCTGTCGCGCATTCGGCGAAGCTTGACGCCCACCTCTTCACCCTAATGCCTGCACCTTAAGCTCCTCTGCACGATCGTCCCAAGAGTTTTCTGATGACATCACAACCTCCTCGAGACTTCTGTCTATCAGTATCGCAATACAGGCCCCGACAATCAGCAGCAAACTCAGCAACAAGGCTCCTGAGCAACGAACCTCTAAGCAAGCCCTCAACTCGCGTTTCTTAAACATGCCAAGCAGCAGCCTCTGCAAGAACCTAGGGTTTGCACCTGGCGAAGGGGACGTTGCAAAAACAATCCTAGTATTTCAGAACCCCCCAAGCCGTTCAAACCCCTGACACCCTCAAAGCCCACTTCCGTCAACCCTAAACCCTACTTAGAGGCCCCATTCCCGTCACCGAGGTCGTAGAAGCAGATCCTCGCATCTTCCGCGAGGTGCCTGTCGAGGCGTGCTTTTCTAGACTTGCTTATGAAGGGATTCAGGCTTTAGGCCGCAGGGTTTATGTAGGGTGCAGGCTGAAGGGTCGAGGGTTCAGATGGCTTCTTGCAGATGAGGGTCTGCAGATTTCGATCTAGGGTCGAGCTTTTCAACTGGATTTAGGGTCTACGGGTTTGGGTGTTGGGTTCACGGTTTGGGGTTGCGATATCCTGCGGTATCGTTGAGGTTGAATTCAAAGTTGCGGTAGGTCGTTTGGAAGCTACGGAGTGGTGGACCGGCGGTGGCTGGAATTGCTGCATGGGGGGGGGTTGTTTCAGTTCAGCAGGTACATTAGATACAGCAATGCCAGGCTCCAGATGTTTTCTAGCAACCTTGCACAACATGTGCATTGCGAATGCTAGCAGCAACGTCGTCATTACAACCAGACTGGTAGTTGGTAGAAAACATGGGGTATTGACAACAAGCGAATGGCCCCTACAGCCCACCTTCACCCTGCACCCTAAATCCTACACCCTCGAAAACGCCGGATAATGCAGAAGCCTGAATAACTAGTCTCAGTAACACTATACCCCAGGAAAGTTGCAACATGAGTTTAGGATTATTAGTGCTAGGATCCCTTTAACTACAGGGCATGAGGATTCGAACCTTCCGGCTCTCTGGTTCGACCATACAAAGATTGGAGCTTCGCAGGATCCCATCGCGGATCAGATCGAGAAGGCGGGCTCGGGGGCTTCGGCATTCAGATACTTCCAAGGTTAAAGTCCGGTCCTAGAGAAGGAAGGATCCTAAAACCCAAGCCTACATCCTAGACTCCGAAGCGTAAACATTGACTCTAACACCGTCGAAGTGAAGAGGGAAGCATAGGGAAGCATCGTCTAACTGGAAGATGCTCATGCCATAAGGCTGAGCCGAACTGCTGTTGAGGGTGTAGGGGTGCAATCGAGGGTTCTGCACGGTTGCTATAGAGGCTTGCTTAGGGTCCAGACTTTGTGATCTTTTCTGGCCCTGGCAGGCCCAGGATGTCGGTGCCGCAATCCCAACTCTTCATTGAATACTCTCCGAATTCGAGTGGCCCCAAATGCCAAGACTCCATCAATAAACAGCCTTGTCAGCTCTCCTGTTGACCCTCAACCCTTCCTCCTTGTCCCCAAGCTCTTGAAGCTTTTCATCCCGGCGTGTCTTCCTAGAGCATGCAGGCGATCCGGATTTCTGCAGTACAGCCCCGAACTTGGATGCTGGCAGGCCCCTTCCCCAGTTGTTTGGCTGCGTACTGTACGTATTGTCTGCTTCAAGCAATTTGTTTCGGGGCTGGGAGCAAACATCTCTTGTAGGCTGTCTCGTGCTGCAGGAAAGGGCATAAGATGATTTGCAGTTCGTTAGCATGACTTGGTTAGGCAGGGTCTTTGAGTTTACAGGCTTTAGTTCCAGGTTTTTATTGTGGGTTTGAGGTCTGCGGCTTAGGGTTCTAGTACCTAGGATCCAGGGCTTAAGGTTGAAGACAATAGATTTGACAATCCCTAAGCCGTCTAAGCACTGAGCCCTGAGTCTATCATTGACTCAAGGAGACTTGAACTATCCAGATATACTATCTACTACACCGGACTGTCCGCTATCTATGCTATTTTCTACGAAGCTATAACTGATACGATTCTCTACCATATTATCCTCAAGGCTAGTCCCAAGTTGCGGTCCATTCTTGAACCCACCTGTCGCGCGGAAAGGTGTGTTTCTGTCGGCCGTGGCCGAAGGGCTTCTTGGCAGGTCGAGTCTTACCGCGGAACAGGCTGGGGTCAGATTCATTTGAGAGTTTAGGGCTTGGAGTGATTCGGGCACGGGGTTTGTAGTGTGAAGGGCTTGGGGTTCAGGGCTTTAGGCTCAGATTCAGGGTCTGTCTGATCCCTGCCTAGGAATCTTTGGGCAGGAGGTTCAGGCTTAATAAGGCATGGGAAGTTGACCCCGGCACCCACTTGGGGAAGTTCACCCGTGCACTTTCAATATGCTCGAATACTGGGAAGTCCTTCCACCAAGCAGCAGTTTCGTCTGGGCTTGCAGCTTTCGAATTTCGAAGCTCCAGGTTGAGGGCACGACCACAATCCCAACTCCTGAACCTGACATCCAAAAAAGCTTCACTCCGAATCGTCAGAGGACGTCACTGCTAGGGACGTCACTGCTACGTAGGTTGAGAAACCACCGGTTTGCTATAGGTCCCACCTGTGTGCATGGAGTATGCTGCCCTCGCGCTTGCTCCTTTGTGTTCTAGAAGGTGTCTTGCGGAGAATATGTCTGGAGCGACAGTGTGGGATTTGCGGGGTCTGCTGTAGCTTATCTGCTGAGTGAAGTTTGCCTGTCTGGCAATCCCTTGTTTCGCTCAGAGCCTCAGCTTGGGAGAGCGGTTGAGGTTTGAGATTGAAGCTACCTGCAGACGGCCACTGGCGAACTAAAAAACCAAAACTAACTCGGACTCCGACGTAACCTTATCGCCTGCTCACTGAAGATCCCACAACCCGAAGGCGGCCCGACGCGCGCGGCTTTTCGCGATCGCCTCGAAGCTGACCGTCATCTGGCCTCAGATTTATCTACACTTTTAGGGTTTCTCGGTGCTTCAGTTTCGTTTCGATGAACTGTGTTGGTGCCGCATAAAGCATGTTGTGGTGGTATGCACGCACATTGTCATGTGTATTCAATATTCCGATCTTCGCAAACGCTGTCTGTGATAGACACGCAGACATGTGGGTAGATAGATCGGTCGATAGGTGGGTGGAGCTTCGAACTGTTTGTCTGCAGGGTGGTGTACACCGCGACCGCTCAGGTTCTCGGAGTGAACTAGGTACTGGCACGACTTTGTAGATGTGGTGTCAAGCCTGAAGTATATAAGCAGACCGCAAAAAAACAAACTGCCAACTTGAGTCATTCCTAAGTCCCTATAGTCAGAAGGAGCTGCATCAACGAGAAGAGGGAGTTTGCCTGTTTTCTCTGGTTCAGGCATTCACTTGGCGCACCAATTGGCTGTGTCAATGCCGTTAACAGCTCTCAGCCTCTAAGCCGTGAAACCCTGTATAAACTCCAAAACCCCAAAGCCCCTAAATCCTAAATGCCCTAAAGCCCTAAAGCCCTGAACTGTAGCAATCCGCAGATCCCAGCCTGGCCCACATTCCATGTAATGCCGGCTCCGTTCTCTACGAGCACTCCTGCAAGGGTTAGGAAGTAGGAGGGTTCGCACGAGGGCTCCTATAAAGGGCTCGTAGGAGAGTTAGTATACTCGGCTATCCTGGGAGTTACTAACTCAAGTGTCTCAGGGCTCTAGTCTCAGGGCTCTAGTCTTGCATTGCAAGAGCAATAGCTTTAATGCCCATTTGTTGTAGCCTCACTGCCGAGATGTCCGTGACTCCTCTCTGGGTATAAAATACTTTAATTCACATTGTTAAGGGTTTAGGGGATATTATAAGTACATAAGGGCTATAAGGGGACATCTGAAGCTTTAACTTCCCGAGGCTAAAGCAGGTCGCAGGCGAGATGCCTGGGTCCCAGAGCCTGGCAGGAGGATGTCGTTCTTTGTGCGTTGCGCATTGTGTTTCGGAGTTTAAGGTTTAGGCCGGGTATAGAAAAGGTCGTGGAGTTTAGGGTTGTAGACGAGGTCTTTCGGAAGGGATCGTTTCATGATTTTCATGGGTTGGCCTGGCAGCGTTTGGAGAAGGGTGAGACGGAAAAGCCCTGGATTGGTTTCAGAGCAGAGCCGCAATCTGAGTAGAGGACGATTGAAGATGCTTCTCGTTATGATTCATTAGAGGTCAGTTTACCTCCAATGGTGGCGCCGCAGGTGCTATCACCAATAAGTCAACATTCTTGAACCCTCATGCAACCCGAAAGATGACATGATCAGAGACGCCGAATCATACAGGAACCAAGCTATATCCCCCAACATCTTTTGGCCTGGACACCTTGGCTGCAACAACATGACTCGCTTCCTAAACAAGCCTATAGAACCCCCTAACTCCAGCCGAGGCCCTTGCGCGAGAGCTGGACATGCTGGAGGAGGGCCAACAAGGCGCCTCGCCCGCGATTCACTTGCTGGTTGGAGGTTTAGGGCTTTTCAGTTTGCGGTTAGGATGTGTAAGTTTATAGGCTGGGATTTGGGTGGTGTGGGGTTTGGGTCCCATATCAACCTAACTCGCCTTCAAAGTGAATCTTGATCTCAACTTAGAACCACAGAAGCACTGGTGTTTGTAGCTGTCAGCTCTCTGGCATGGGTTCTGTCTTACAGCGTGTCATTGCAACCTCTTGCTTCGGCTATGTAGCTCCTAGGGGTCTTCATTGAGTCTTCCGTGGTTGTCGTTCTCGTGAAGTGTTCGTTTCTTGCATCGGAATGATGTTGCGTCCTCTCCAAGTCTTCTGTGAAAACTGCACAATCACAGTAGCAGCAGCAGCAATGGCAATATTCTGGTAGCATCGGCTGGAGCACCGGCTGCCCACGGTGAGAGGCAGAACAGGTTGTAGCCACACACTCGTCGAAGTAATGGCATTGCACCTGCAGCAGCAGCGGCAGCAGCACCTTAGCAGCAGCGGCAGGATTAGTAACTAAGTAGTAGTAGCACTCAATTGTAAGACCAGGTGGTCGTACGCAGTAGTCTTAATTTCAAGACGCCAAATCCCAGCATCCTAAGCGCAAGCCCGCAACCCGGATGCACGGCTTCTCGAAGGTCCAAAGGAGCTGGAGGTCGAGATGATTTCACCGCTCTCGAAAGTGCAGAGTGCTCAGAGTAGCATGGTTTGTGTGCGCTTGGCCATGCAGGCGTGTGCGTCTTGCAGATGTTTGCTTTCGTGTTTGTTCCAGGCTCTTTGGTGTTTCCCGTATGTTTTTTGATTCGGACATACGGTACGTATGCTTAAGCACGAAATCAGCTGTCTATGAATCGGTTTGTCAGTCTGTCAGTCAATCTATCAGCCTATCGATCCATCTGTTCGTCTTTCTGGTTGGCTAGATAGCTATTTTTCCACCTCTCCGTCTATCTGTCTATGTATCTGTGTATGTAGGGTGTCTGCGCCTAGGCATCCATAGGCTCATTTATGGATGTTGCGTTTCCTACTCATCTCTATATACGTCCCTTCTGCAGTCACCTGAAGTCTCGTTGCGTGCCGAGGTCTTTCAGGAACTTTTCGGTCGACCTGAGCGACCAGCCGGCGTCTCCCACACACGCCGCAACGGAGGCTCCCGACTTTCCCCAAGGTCCTGAAATAACCCTAAGCCTGGAACAAGCCCTAAAGCCACAAACCGAATATTCTTGGTGCTCGGAGGACGAACTCGGGAGTGTGGCCGGGAATGATGAGCCTTGTCATGATGCTTCCCTAAGGGTCTAGCTGCATGACAAGCATGAACAGGCCACCAGGCCCGAAGCCTTTACATCCCAATCTAGACATGAAAAGCTACGGCCAACTCAGCAGTGGGAGTAAGACTCCCGAAAACCAACGCGCTGATGCCCCTGAATGAGGCGCTTCAAAGTGCAGGGCTCTTGGGGGGCCAAGGTTGCCGCTGCAGGAAATCGGGTGAAAGCATGCCTTATCAAGCATGCGAACACGTAGTTTGTAAGTCCCGAAGCAAAGCCGGCACATGTAAGACCAAAATGCCACATCCGACTCTCGTGCACAGTTCCTACGCGGTGCGCTCGCCAAAACTCCGATCGACCTAGAGGCAGAAGGGGGTTTGGGGTACAGGCCGGGTTCGGGCTGCGGGGTGTCGGGCAAGGCCGGTTAAGGGCAGGCGTGGGTTTCTTGGGCCATGAGGCTTTCGCCAAAACAGCAAGCATGGCTTAGGGTGTAGTTTTAAGTTGATGGGGACTGCTGTTGTGTCCACACAGTCCGAAGCAGATGGTTCGCTGGAGTCGACTGCCATGCAAGAAGAAAGTTTGAAGGCACCGTTAATTTCGTCAGTGAAGCCTAAGCCCTACAAGCCAGAAACTCCAAATTGACATCCATTGAAACCCAAACCAGGAGTTGTCTATGGCACTGGAGCAAGCTAAAAGAGCTGACGTGGATTCGATGCTGCTGCTGCGGGGAGAGGCGCAGACTTATCTATCATTTCTGATTGCCCTCGTCCTTGTGCAACTAAGGGTAGGCAGCAGCTGCTGTTGGCAGTTCCTCGTTCTGTGAGGCATTCCGAACATTGACGTGTGTGCTCCCTGGGTTGTGCGATGACCCGCGGAGTTTATAAGGAATGCGGGGTTTAGGATTTTAGCGGTCAGGTTGGGTGGTTGCCTTCAAGAACTGAAGCTCTCCGATCCAAAATCTCAAGCCTCTGTGTCAGCCTGCACGGCACGTAAGGTTTGGATTTGGTTGTTTCTTTCCAGCCTCGGGCAGGGAGGATCCTTTTGCTGTGCAGCATTTCACCCTTCATGGCCCGAGGTGCGAGGATGTTGGACCCTAAGCAAACCCACGACCGCCTTAAGAAGCTTCTCCACTCTCCTCCTCCTCCTCCTCCCAAGAGTCTCAAGCTCACGGAAAGGACGTCTTCATGGAGCTCATCGAGAAGCAGGCGGCGGTGACGCGCCTGGCGACGGCGCTGCAGAACCGGATGCTGAAGGAGCCCAACTCCTTAAGGAAAGGGGTTCAGGTTTTAGAGGTTCAGGGGTTTAGGGTTTAGCTGTTTAGGGGTTTAGGGGTAGGGCCCGACTCGTTAAGAAAGCACTGGCTGGCATGTCAGGGCCCCCCAGTACAGGATCCTTGAGTTCGGGCCAAGGCCAAAAGGCTGCAACAGCTATTTTGCCATGGAATCTCGTGAAATCGCGTGGCCCTTTGCTACTATAAGCGCGCGTCCTGATGACGCTAGCATGGGGACTTGTCATGATCGCACTACTTCATTTTTGCAGTAGAGATGGCAGTGCCAGCGATAGCTATGATTTTTAAGGTTTCGGATTTGGGATTTATACATTTAGGGGTCTGGAGTGTTAGGATTTAAGGCGTCAGGGTTGTAGAGCCCTATAAGCCCAAAACTGAGTCGTCACACTTCACCAGGACCTCCGCCAGGCGATCGCCAAGGCAGAGACGAGCAAGATCGGTCCGGACGAGTTTCCCGCATCCTGGCATGGCTTAACGGACTCCGTTTGCTTTTTGTGTTGGGTCTCGGGTGAATATGGCTTTGGATGATGGGTCTGGAGAGTCTAGGGCTCATATCTGTGTATATATATATATATTTATTTATTTATTTATTTATACATAGGGCTCAGGGTTTTGAGGGTTTAAGGCTTCGGCTGTAGGCCCTAGTGCTCGGTATCCCTATGAAGTCGAAGAGCCTCAATCCGAAAACTCGGTGCCCGAATCAGAGGTTTCTTTGGTTTTGACAGCTTAGGGTTGTTTCCGGCCACTTCGGGTTCAGGGTAGTGATGGTTGAAGAGTTTTGGTCTGTTGGTCAAGGGCTTCCGATTCTGAGGTCATGCAAAGACTCTAAGTCTAGTCGACAACATAGAGTTACGGACTAGGGTGGCTCGGGTTTAGGATGGCTGAAGGATGCAACTGGTTGATGGGTTGAGATTCACGATCGTTTAGGGGCTGGGTCTACCAAACCTAGTATTAACTCAAATGCTGGTGTTGCATTAATCGTGGATCTACACGAATTCTTTAGCGCACGGGTTGGGAGGCTGTTGAGTTCAACTTAGGACTGTCCGGAACGTCCTAAGACCCTGCAAGCGCTCTCGGAGGTTCAGAGTTGACGATTCTGAATGCTGTTCGGAATACGTAAGTAGAGCGGCATATTTGCCGATGCCGTGGTTTCTGCAGGACATGAAACAAAAGGGATGCCAGGGTTCCCGAGACTGGTGTCGGAGGTGTCGAGCGCCTGAACTCATTCCAAGGATGCAAGTGGATGCGGAATCGTCAAGAGGGCGAAAGCCGTGGTGGAGCAGGCCTGTGGATGGTGGCCTACTTAGACCAGAAAGCCTATACATCAAGCTCCAAACAGTCAAAAGTCGCTTTTGGATGGGATTCGTCGCGCTTCATCACTAAGTTATGGCCATGGTGACCGAAATGAAGCGTAAGAATGGGTTTGCCAATGTTATTTAGACATGTGAGGGTGGTTTGGGGAGGCGTGTGTGCAACCAGCATTTGTTTTGGGTCTGGCTTAGGAGTTCCTTCTTTGTTGGCGCCAATTGGTTACAGAGCTCTCTCACTGCACCTGGCATTGACCTCGAAACTGGATTTCCTCATGCTGAAGACTTGTAGTCTCACTTAAATTTATTGGAGAACCCCCAGGCTGCTGTGCCACCGACTTCTTGAAGGGTTCGTATGAGTCTGGCTACACATCGCAGTTGATAAGAACTGCAAGACACCTCTTTTAAAGTGCTTCACACAGGTCAAACCGTCAAAGCCTTTCCACGTTCTTTCGCAATGTTCGTGGAGTTTGATCCCAATCGTGTTCTCGACCAACAGGTGCTGCCCTTGCAGACTTGCTATGCAATTTTTGATACATTTTCCAAAAGTGATACAGGCAGGCAACGTAGTGACAGGTGTATGGATGAAGTTCGTTTTTTTAAGACTACTTGGCGGATGTCGGATTTGAGTCCTGCTGAGCTTGTGATTCATGCTTGAAAAGCCTAGGCTGAAATTCATCATCGCTGTATCCCAAACAGCCACATCATAGACTCTGTGAGCCCCCGGATGTACAGAATCTTATGCTTTGCACCCGCCATCCCAGACCCACAATGCAGGAAGAGCTGGCAGCCATGGAGGAGTTGCGGCGCTCGCTAAATGCTGGCGTGCGACACCAAGCACCAATCCTCACTTTCGAGCCCGGTTCTGTATTTTAAGGGATTAGGGTTTCGATTTGGGGTACAGGTCGGGGTTTGGTCGGATGTAATGATTCCATTGGTCAAGCATTTGCACAAGCCGCAAAGTACCCTGAACTTTGGCAATTGCTATACTCGATGTCCCTGAACAGAAAATCTGGTAACGATACAATAGAGATCTGAGATGTAGATCTGCAGAGTTCCAAACAGCGCACCTATTGGTTGTTAATTACTATGAAAGCGGAGCCGCAACAGCTGTGGTAAAGCTATCCCGCCGTTCGATCCTGTCCCGTACTGATAAGTTTGCACTGACACCTACGTGCCCTAAAGAAACATAAAGAAAAGATCCTTGAAGTATTCCTGTTAACAGCAGATCAGAAATCCAAAACCGCCCCGACAGTGCCTGAACCCATTTGCATAATGCATGCGGCACGTGCATACATACATACATACATACATACATACATACATACATACACACATACATACATACATACATACATACATACATACATACATACATACGTGAGTATGCATAGACGTGTATATATATATATGTGTATATGTATATATATATGTACATATTTTATTATTGTAACTGCACGTTTATGTATTTGTTAGTTCGTTAGTTGTTCATGTACTTGCATTGTTGTAGTGTGTGTACGCATGCATCCATGCTTGCATGCACACATACACTCCTCTACTTATATCAGAATCCGTGACCGCAAGTCTCCGCATGGCCCAAAGAGGCAGAATTGAAAGGCTGTCAGCACAGAATTACGTACTGGGAGTCCCTCAAGAATGAATCCTAAACCCTAAATCCCGAACTCTGAAAAAAGCCTCTCCAGAATCTGATATTCGCTTTTAAAATGCTTGGTAAAACCTCCCTGAAACCCCAAACCTTAAACCCTATAAACCGTACTCAAGCAATGTCTGCGTTTGCGGCGTTGCGCCCTCTGGCCGGGATCTGGCGCCGCAGCCTGGCAACAGCCGCAACCGCCTCCACCGTGCCGTGTCATGAAAAACAGTCTGCCTTTTTTTCCGTCCGTCCGTCCGTCCGTCCGTTTGTCTGTATGTATGTACATGCTTCTGTAGGTGCATGTGCATGCATATATATATATATATACATGTAGATGTAGGTGAAGGTGTATGTGTATGTGTGTGCGTGTGTATGTACTGCCCGTCTGTACGTCTGTCTATCCGTCTGTCTGTGTTTCGGTATGTATGTATGTATGTATGTATGTATGTATGTATGTATGTATGTATGTGGATTAGGCTGTGCCCGAATCGGACTCTTCGCCTCTGAAAGTGAAAATGTATGTGTATATGCATGCATGTACAAATGTGACATACATGCTCCAGTGTATATTTTAGATTATTTACACATACATACACACACATGCATACACATGCACACATGTCCCGATCGTGCGTTTCAGTGATTTCTGGATCGTTAGTGTTTCAATATGTTCTGTCATGCCGTGCCGACGGCGAGGTGCAACAAGAATCAAGAAAGATTCAACGCGGTTGTCGTAGTACGCCGATGAAGATGAAGATAGCTTGGGTCTTGCCTGTCGATGAGCTCCGTAGAGTCGTCCTGTTTTTTTGGTGGCATGTCGAGGGTCGTATGAGCACAGGATGCTACGCACCAGTATTTGGTGTGCCTAGGCCCCACTTGCTGGTGGAGAGTGTAGGGTATTTGATGAAATCGCTTCTTTCCCATCCTCAAGTCCTAACCTGGACAGGCTGAATGTGGCAATTCGGAAGACGGGAAATGGAACCCTCCCCAACATCCCTCAACATTCAGCTTTCTTAACTGCCCTATCCTCGCAAACCAAGACTGAATTCACCTGCACACTGCCTGCGAAGGAAGGGGGCGGATTGCTACTTCAAGAAAAATCAATTGCACCGAGAGGATAAGAATTAGCAGCCATCCGCTCTGCAGCTTCTAATCGGGTCCTCCTCTTGAGAAAACTATTTAACATGCCTGGTATGACTTTGCAGACCCCTATGAACACTTATTGATACTTTCGCAGCTGCATTTTTCGAAACCCACATACTATACAAGAAACTGCAGAAACTGCAAACAGGCAGCCTCACGTCCCGAAATCCGAAGCCCTGTAACAGCTGATCTTAAACTCTACAGCCCAACAGCTACGGAAGGCGCCTCGGGGTGGCTTCGCTCGCCTCGCCGCCGCTGATGTCGCAGCCCTTCGCCAACTCCTTGGAGAACGCTCTCTGGCTCAGGGTGTTTGGTTTGTGGTTTGTGGGGCTTACGGCCTACACCCTAGACAACCCCTTAAGCCCCGAGCCCTAAGCCCAAATCCCTAAACCTTATGATAATTTCAAGAGGGCTTCCGGTCTCAGCCTCAACGCTGGGGTCGAGGGTTTCGGGGGTGAGGGGCTCAGACTGCAGGTCCAGGGTTTTTGCAAGAATATCTACCTATAGTCCTTAGATGGGTAGTTGGGTAGTTCAGTTGGGGCCCATTTTTCAGGTCCCCAATATAGTACGGCACCCGAATACAAAGGACTCTAAACGGGACCCCAATTCAGATAACTTTATATTAGTGCTTTCGACAAAATAGTGTAGTCCAAAACCCCACTTGAATTTAGAGCGCACTGTGCAAGCAAGTTGCCCCTAAACCCTATACGTCCTACACCTTGCACCTCCGCCCAAAGCCCTAAGCCATGAGAATTCGTTTTCACTGGACAGTAGATGCTGCAGTCTGACCCTCAGGTGTAAGCAAAATGCCCCATGAACCTCAAACCCCAATTCCAGACACAATCGAGTTCATACGTCAAGGTGTACGAGTGCAACACCTAAACCTAAGCTCAACTTCCGTAGTCAGGAAATGTCGTGACACCCGAGGAAAGTGAGCGTGAGGCCGGCTTCGATTCAGAAAGAAATGCTACGTGGGTAGTTCTCTAAATTAGGGTCCTCTTTCAGGTCCCCGCATACTACAACACACTTATGGAAAAGACCCTAAGAAGGACCCAGTCAAGAGAACCACCCACATGATTTTGGGTTGAGTTTGGTGTTCGGTATGGAAGTTGGACTTCTCTGCCGTTTCGCTCTTCCCGGGTTGATGGTCTTAGGGCGTCAACCAATAGCCAGGTATTGATCTCCGAGGATCTCGAGAAAATTTCACGCGGGATGTAAGCTCAGGATACGGGGCCTTAGAGTTTTCGGGTGTTTCGGCTTTCAGAGCTGTTGCCGTTTTGGGGGTTCGCAGTGTTGGGTTTTTCCAGTTGAGTCCCGGACAGGAACTTCTCAGATTCAACCAGGACTGGATGGGCTGCTTGTTGGCATACCGCCGTATGCTCCAAGGTAGTGCTCTTGCGCATGTCCGGGTCAGGGACCGGCAGTTTTAAGACATGTGTGAGTGTGTTGACGGTCATGGAAATGCGGGCGACGGCGTTTTGTTGTCACGCCAGCAGCAATTCGTGTTCGTAACGGATTTGACTTCGATGCTGGCGAGACACGGGTCTTGGGCATCGTTGTTGTTTCTTCAGCTGGGCGCTTTGAGTTGCTGTGGCGCGCCGGTTGTGGATGAGTTGAAGTATGTGTCAGGTACACCGCCCACTTTCTGAAAAGACTCTAAAGCCGTTCCTATCGCATTCAGCATCATTGTTCGCTCCAAGTGCAGGACGCTCAAAACCCGAATGCATGTTTAGGGGACAAATATGAGTCCTTGAAGCTTTGAGTTGAGGGCCGAGATCTGTTCAGCATAGCTCCTTGCAGCTCGTCTGCATGATGGTTGCACTGTGCGCTGGTCTCCGTGCATGTGGCCGAGGCAAGTGGGAAGGACGAAGTGCTGCCATTCTGAAGCCGGTGTCGTGGCAGGGAGAGAATTTGCGGGTTTAGGAGTTTGTTCCCTGACTCTTACCAGCTCCGACCCGATGCCACAAAGCTCCTGTAGACATGAAAGTTCAAGGGGTGATAACCACAACTTCATCTGACTGAAGTTCTGAAGCTAGTCGCAACATTTGTGCCGGTTGCCTCCTTCACAACCTCTCATGGTCCGTGCCTGCCTGTTGGCATGAGTTCGTTGACATGGAAGCACATACACATGTTGCATATGCACTTTCAGTTTCCGCACCACAGTGAACTATCAAATCCTAGCAGCCGCTGAGGCGTCTACCGAAGAGGTCTCTGCTGTCCTGAGGCAGCTCCGAGATGTTTAGCTTCCGTCGGTCCTCCAAGAATGACTAACCTACACCATTCGTGGGTGATTTCGCGATTCAGTGCCTCTGTGTAGTTTCTGGCTTCAGATGAGCACATTGTCTCGTTGCATCTTGGTCCGGCTGCTACAATCGTTTGGACTGATGAGTCAAGGGAGCGGCCTTCGCTTCAACAGATGAATGCTGCTCATGGGTGCAGTCAAGTTCATTACAGCTTTAATAAGTTGTAGCTGTACTGGTGAGGTATCATTCCGTGCATGGGAAATCGGTTGCGAGTGGTGGATACTGTGGTGGAAACGCCGAGATGTGCAATGTCATCCGGCGAGGGGTTCAAAATCTCTCCTCTCCCTCCATCACCATCAGTTCAAGTTTGCGCCAGGGATGCGCCAAAGCCGAGGTATGCCAGTGAGAAGAACCTGGCAGTGGTACCTCAGGGCGGCAACACAGGCGAGTGCCTAAGAGGGTGTTCGTTTGCGTTATGTTCTGAGAACGCGAGCATGATGTGTAGTGGTTTAACGAGTCTGCTGAGGCCTGAACATCTACCTAAGGACATAGGTTGAGAATGACGAAGCCACGAATCCCAAGACCCGAACCCCACCCCACAACGTGTCCGACACCATATACCTGCGGAGGCTTGGTTGGTGGTTCGGTCCCGGTGCACGACGAACTGGCTGCTCTTCTGCACAGTTGCAGGGGGCTGCGGGGTACGGGTGCGTGCTCGAAGTGGCTGCATGTGGAAAAGCCATGTCAGTCTATTGCAGCAAAATTTGGTTCGGCCGAAGAGGTTTGAGCTCAGCCGGAAAGATTGAAACCAAAGCCAGCTCCTCATAAGGTTCGAAGACCTGCCACATTGCACAAACACAACTAAAGCCGGAATTCGAATACTCGAGAGCTGAAAGCTCTGAAGAGTTGAGCCGAAAAGCTGTGTTCACGGACATTAGCCTCCGCGTCTGCTTAATAGTGCCAGAATCGTAGGATGAAGTGTTACAATCAGAGTTTCGATGTTTTTGAAGTGGAGTCCATTTGAGTGCTGAGACTGTTCAGACTGCTAAGACGCAAGGTTCTATCCCTTCTGCGGATGAACCAAGTGGAAGCGCTGGACACTGGTTCGCAGAAGTGTTGAAGGCCAACTCTTTAGATTCCGGTGTGGCCAGCTTACCGGTACAACGAGATTTGCCAAGATACAGTGCTCACAAGTTTGATGAATGCCTCATCACAAGAGTCCAAGAACTTGATGCAAAGTGGAGTGTCCAGGACACACGTTCCGGCATCGTCACCGTGCAAGCAGGTTGCGTGCTGGAGCAGTTGGACCAGCTACTCTGCTCCACCAGCTTTGATGGGGGGGCGGGGTGGTGCAGGGTTTAGGATGACATGCAGGTCTTGTGGGCTCGTCTCTTGCCAGGTTCCGAAGTATGAAAGAAAAATAAGATTGATTCCTGGATTTCTGTCTTCATGGAGGCTGGCTACAGAAAAACACCATACAACTTCTCCGGTGTAAATGTCTGGCAGTCGTGGGCAAACGGTTATCTATGAACCTCTAGCTATCTATCTACCTAAGTATCTGTCTATATACATAGAACTCATACTGTATGTGTATATATATATATATACACATACATATGCGTACATACATACATCTGAAAAATCTGAGTGTGTGTGTGTTCACTATAAGAAACATCATGCATGCATACGTATGCTTGGGAACAGAGAAAGATATCCGCTGCAGGCAGATGCCGCACGGAAACAGACTAGCTGCTTTCCGTACATGCACTGGCTAAGCTTTTACCATGGAGCTCTGGCGATTTAGAATGCTGAGCAGCGCAGTGCAGATTCCTTCACATGACTGCAGCACTATAAAGGTTGTTCTCTAAATTAAGGTCCCATTTGAGGACCCCGAAACGGTACGGCCGCCTTTTGAAAGGAACCCTAAGTTAGAGAACTACCCATAAGTCAAGTCAGCCAACTGTGGGTTGCATGGAAGTAGCACCGACAGAGCAGCCTGCTTGGCTGAGTATCGTAGAGAACCGACTGGTTCAGCGTACTGCACGGCCACCAGGCTCAAAGACCCTGCAACATACGCTGGCATCTTCATCTCCAACAGATGATAAATAAGTTGACATGTCGACATTTGATCCAGCCGGGAGAGATACTACTTCATCTCCCGTGCACATGCTGGCATGCTGCAAGTGCGTTTGCGGTTTAATTTTTACATGTGTATATATATATATAACACATATTATATATATACACATATCATATGTAAGTGCTCCACTATGCAGCGACCTGCAGGACTGCTTTGTGCAGTTGCTCGAGTTTCCAGGTGTGTAGGCACACGGGCAGCACCAGAATCCCGCATGTGTGCATCCTCGCGCATAGCAGTGCTAGGGTGTGACTGCAAGTCGCTGCCGAATGCGACATCGACATCCATGGAGTCGAACATGACTTTGTTCTCCTGCACCCACAACTCCTGAACGCATAAACCCTGAACTCCTAAACATGAAAACCTCAAGCCATAAACCTCAAGCCCTCAGCCCTGGACCCTGTGATCCCTAAAGGGCCGAAAGTTTTGAAGTCCAACAGCCGCACGCCTAAAACGTAGCATATACAAAATATATAAAAGAACATGTGTATATGTATATATACAAACACATGTGTGTATATGTATATATATATATATATATTTCTATACATCTCTGTCTCAGTCTCCCTCTCTCTCTCTCTCTCTTCAGTCTCATTCTGGTATTGTGCTCAGGTATCTCGCCAAGCACGACTTCATGGTCCCCCTGGACCTTGGCGCGAAGGCGCTGCTCGGGTCTGATGGTTTCAGGGCGTTGGGTTTTGAATTTTGAGGCTTTAGGGGGTTTGGGTTTACGGCGTTAGGGTGTTTAGCTTCTAAGGTTTACGGGTTCGGGTGGGTCTAAAGCTCAGTGGTGCACGTGCTTGGGTTCAGCTTTTCATGGTTTAACCTTATCGGTTTGGGAGGTCGGTTTAGCGTTTCAGAATTGAGGACGTTCTTGCCAGCTGCAGAGCTTTGCGGCTTGGGCTTTGAACGATGCATCTTATGTTACATGTGCGGTGTCCGGTGCGTATCCCAGACCTCAAACCCTGCCCCCCCCCAGCTCAATGAACAGACGTGACCTGAATCTTGTAAGACCTCATGATGTATGCACTTCTAACTCTTTTCAGAAAAGTGGCTACATGTAGTTAGAAGTCCCAGTTACGAACTTTCGAAGGCTGCTGATACCCGTCACTCATGGCCCCTCGCATGGCAGAACGTCCTCACAACGCGAATCCAAAAACCCTGGCCAATGCTGTACTTGTTCGATTTGAGCTCAACTACCGATAAAGCACCGACAGCAAGGCCTCGTCAGGTTAAAAATAGATGGCACTACTATCTATCTATCTGTCTATCTATCTATCCAGCTATCCATCTATCCATCTATCTATCTATCTATCGATCTATCTATCTATCTATCTATCTATCTATGTCTATGTATACATATATATATATATATATTGACTTTGTTACTGTTATTATACTATAACATACTGTGTATGTTCATATATGTATATTTATTTATACATATATATGTAAAGGTTGGTATAGGGTTCAGGCCCTGAGCCTGGAAAGTGCTCTTCTCTGGCTCCTGTCTCGCTCATAAGATCTCGAGGTCGACGTCCGAGCGACGTCTGAGAGAAAAGCACTGATCGCAGCAATAGTACCCGAAAGTAGCCGTGCTAAGAACGGTATGTAGTATCGTGACAACCAGAACAGGGAAGACCAGCTGTTCCACCAGCAGCATCAGTTTTGTTTGCGTGTGTGAGTCTGAGAGAGAGTGAGAGAATGTATGTTTATGTCTGCGTGCGTGCGCGCGTGTGTGTGTGTATGATTGTGTATGTACGGTGCTTGATTTGTGTTCATGTTCTCTGCCACTCCAGGGAACCTGCACCATCGGCGGGAATGCGGCCACGAATGCAGGCAGAGGGCATGCCGTACTAGGCCATCGAACCCTGTGGCTGCATGGAGAGTACCTCCCTCAACCCAAAGCCCGAAGCTGTACACCCTGAACCATGGCAAAACTATCCACAGTCTGACCCGTCCTGGAAGCTCTCGGCTCTGTTTGGCCCTGTGTCCAGGGGGCCTCCGATACTTGCGCTACGGCTCCCTTCGCAGCTTGTTTGCTTCTGGCCGAGCATGCAGTCTTTGATAGACCTGCCAAAGGGGTGCAACATAACAGCATCATGATGGAGGCACTGCTAAACCCGAAAATCTAGCAGACCTAACAGCCGCAAAACCTTGTCTTTGCTCATCATCAGCACCAACTGCACCTGGTACTAGCAGTCGAGATGGATTGATGTGCCAAGTGTTGGCCAACCAGCTAGGCCCCCATGCGCCCCATGCTGAGTATGGCACTTCAATGCAAGACGGCGTAAGATGATGCCTGAATAACTAGCAAGATCATCACCCTGTCGGTCGTACCTATATAGCTTGACTATAACATACCCCAAAACCTAACATGCCGTTGTAGTGCCCATACTGACTGTACTGTTACCGAAACACTATCTTATACCCCAAAACCGATTATTGCCTTTTTGTGCCAATATAGTCAGACTGTAGCTTACCCCAAAGGCCGAGGCCACCACACCGGGGGTTTTAGTTTCCACCTGATGGTTCGAGGCATCGGTTTCTCGGACGGGGGGTCTCTTGGATCTGGGCTTAGGGCTAGAGATTTCCCGTTCAGGGCTTAGGGCTTAGGGTCTGGGGTGTAGGGTAAAGATTTCGTTAATTGAGGTAAGGGTTCAGAGTTAGAAGGTGCGGTGTGGTGTTGGGTTTATGGGAACTGCGGAGTAAGGCTTCAGATGGGCATGGAGCGTCCCAGCCCACGGTAGTTGTAGGAGTGACGGTCATCGCAGACCAGGTGGCAACATCCTTGGCTTGGAAGCCGTGCTCGCCGACGGCAAGGCGACCATTTGTTGCCCTGATTTTAGGGATTAAGGTGGAATTCGCATGTAGAGGTTTGGGTTTGAAGGTTTCAAGCATAGGCCTAGAGACTACCTCCAGAGCATGGGTTAGGGTTCGGGCTCGTTTGGTTTGTGTTTGGCTTCTGCTTTTCGGAAAAGTTTGAAAGCGGCTCGGGGGCATTCAGGCAACTGGGGTCATAAGACTGGTTCACGGTGCACAAGTGAGAGAGAGATAGATAGACAGATAGATAGATATAGATAGATAGATAGGAGCACTAGGGGTCCCTCCCCTTTCCTCTACCCTTGGGAAAGAAAGATAGACTGAAAATACAATGTTAGGTACCGGTATTTTCAATGGAAGAGGCGCGAGGGGCCTCCGACTCAGGAGGACGGAGGGATCCAGGTATACAGAGTGAAGAACCCCCGGTATTGCTTCAGACTTGGGATCGGTACCTGGGGCACAAGTGCGACTGTTTCAAAGGGATTCGTTGCATGGAGCACAGCAGCAACAACGTCTTCGAGGCAGAGCGATCCATAAACATCGTGAGTGTGGTAGTCGTTTGCCTGTACGCTGACATTTTCCCGCTTGTCCTGGCTCGCGCTAAACCAGAGTTGAGCCCTAAGGCCTCAGCCTAACAGCCTAAATCCGAAACTATGCTAAACATGTAAACATACAGGATAACCTTGTGCCCAGCATCCTGGGCCTTCTACACTTAGCTCCAGTAGTACAACCTGCATCAGGTGGTGAACTCGCTCTCAGCATTGCGCAAGGACCGGGCCAAATACAGCAGTGGTTTAGGGCCAGGAGAGTTCTGTACATCTCAGCAAGCGGCCATGTTATACGTTCTACTTGGAAAAACAGTCCAGCCCCATAGGTGGCCGGTAGGGCCAGGTGTTTGTGGCCGAGGGTGTAGACCCACCAATTTGTTCTATCGCTGCTAGAAACCGTTGGCGTTGTTGCCATGTTTGCAGGTGACGGCGTGAAATTAGACTCCTGGATGCATCCCGTTGTTTGCCTGATGTCCGGCCAAGCTGACCAAATTAGCAAGAGAAGGTGAAGACAAGTGGACTTCACGGACAAAAGCTTGTTTTTGCGGCAGTGAACTGCGGCCTAGTTGTTATTAGTGGCACAGTTGCGGATTTTGAGCGCCTTAACAGCAGGACAACACGGGCTACGGGCTGCCACAGCTCTTCATTGGGTCCGAGGGCACACTAGGCACGGCTTTTGTCGAAGTTCGGTTTGCCCGCATCACTCAAGATGAGTGGAGGCTGCGAAGCCTTGGATTGCAACACAAGATCTGACGAAGCGCCGACAGTCCTTATGAACCCACGGAACTCTTGATTATTGTGACTATCATTACAATTATGAGTATTAGGTATTAGTGCTATTGGAATTAGTAGTACTGTTCACATGGTTAGTTTCTGAGTGTGATTACTCTTGCTTGTCTTATTACCGTCCCAGTCCGGCCAGGCGTGATTACCAAGCTCACAATCCTGTGCCCTACGCGGCCAAAGGCCTTTGGACTTTCAGTCTGTTCGGAGGTACCGCTGCTTCTTACTTAGCAGGGAGATCATCGGATCACAATCTGCAAAATATTGAGAGTCACTAGAGCTTTGGCATCGTGCCTGGTGAGTTTGTCTCGTGGCGGTCTAGGCCCTGGCTGCGTGCAGTTGCGTTGCCCTGTTGGGGTGTTTGCCTCTCCGTTATGCCAACATGCATGCTTGTGGTTTCTTGTGGCTTCCTGTGATGATTGCGCAGCAACAACACTGCTGCCCGTGTTGACCAGGCCATCAATATCGCCTTCTTTGCATGCTCCGACTTTGAGAATGTCATGCAGCTGCAAGCAGGGGGCTGCAGACGACAACTTCAGAACGCTGACACTCCTGGGATGAATAGGACGCCTTTCGACCACCCGCTTTCCACCATAGCTCCCGAGACCTGAGATCAAACATGTTTTCGGCAACTGAAGTCTTGAAGCCCAACACTTGGGTTTACCGGCTTGTCTAAAGCTAGCTTTACCGTGGTGGAGGTGATTAGGGTTGAGGTGACCCTAAACCCCCAACCTTGATCCCTAAACCATAGCCCTAACAGCTAAACTCAGCTGAGCTCTCTTCTGCCTAGCGTTTTTTTGTCCACCCAGAAAGGTCCAGCGCACCTTCGCACTGGCGCGTCAGAACCTCGGCGAGGTGGCCTATCCTGGGATCAGTGGTGTGTTCTATGCAATGCGGCTGAAAGTTTTCATTAATACGAAAGACAGTATGAAAGAGCATAATTTGATTTTTACCAAATTTGACGTATGCGTATGTCTGCTTGATGTCACTGTTGGATACCGTTCTCATGTTTTGTGACTCCTCGATGCAGCGGTGCATAGGTACTTTGCTTTGGGGGCCTTTAAGAACAACCCCCTCAAGATTTTCAGAAGGCAGATTCTAGAGGGCCCCCGTTTCGTGCGGATTCGGTACAAAGCATGGCCTATGAGCCCGGGCACCCGGCCCTGGAGAAGCAGTTTTTTTTTTTTTTCCTCTCTCTCTCTCTCTCAGATAGATAGTCGAATGTTAGAGAAGCCTGGTCGAAAGGTGCTCTCTGCTGTAGAGTTCTGCGACCGAGCAGCGATTGACTTCGTGCACCCTGACTGCTCTGATGGACTGTGGGAACTCGCTTTGGCGTAGGGTATGGGGATTCTGTTTAGGGTATAGGGCTTTGCGGGCTCTACGGGGTTCTTGTCACCGGGCAACATCACCGCATGGTTGAATCTTAGAGACTTTCTTGCGCCGCCCTCGTGAGGGCTGCTCCATCCGAGGCTGAAGCGGGAAGCTGGAACAGGGGTGCGCGACCCCTTGGAGGAGACGTATCCCTTTTATGCAGGGACCTGAGTCCTCCGCAATGCCCAAAGCAGCGAGGGAGGTCCGGAAATGCCAAGAATTGCAATGTTCGTCTATGTCAAAGGAAAAGGATGCCTGCCGACCCTATAGCCCTAAATGGTCACACATACGTAAAAGGCCGCGTGGGTTTTCGCAAGCAGCATATTATTCGAATGTGCTTCAACCCACCCCTGCCAGCAAATGTGAGTAATTTGCATTTATGCTTCTTGAAGTGAATATGTAAGATCATACTGCCTTGAAACTTAGGGC